GCAAGGTTCAGGATACAAGATTAACATACAGAAATATGTTTCATTTCTACACACTAATAAATAATGAAAATCAGAAGGAGAAAGTAAAAAAAATTCTGTTTAAAATCACATGGGAAAGAATAAAATACCTAGGAATAAACTTAACAGAGGAGGTGAAAGACCTACACTCTGGAAACTATGAAACACTGATGAAGGAAATTGAAGATGATACAAAGACATGGAAAGATATCTGTGCTCTTGGATTGAAAGAATTAATATTGTTAAAATGGTCATACTACTCGAAACAATCTATAGATTTAATGCAATCCCTATCAAAATACCCATGACATTTTTCACAGAACATATAATCCTAAAATTCATATAGAACCACAAAAGACCCCAAATTGCCAAAGCAATCTTTAGGAAAAAAAAACAAAGTTGGAGTTATAGCCCTTACAGGCTTCAGACTATACTACAAAGCTACAGTAATCAAAACAGTGTGGCACTGGCACAAAAACAGACACATAGACCATTGGAACAGGATAGAGAGCCCAGAAATAAACCCACGCACCTATGGTCAATTAATCTACAACAAAGGAGGCAAGAATATACAATGGAGAATAGATGGTCTCTTTAACAAATGGGAAAACTGGACAGCCACATATAAAACAATTACATTAGAACACTCCCCAACACCATATACAAAAATAAACTCAAAATGGTTTAAAGACCTAAATATAAGAACAAGAACCATAAAACCCTTAGAAGAGAACAAAGGCAGAACACTCTATGACATAAATTGTGGCAATATTTCCTTGGATCAGTCTCCTAAGGCAACAGAAATAAAAGCAAAAATTAACAGATGGGACATAATTAAACTTAAAAGCTTTTGCACAACAAAGAAAATCACTGACAAAACGAAAAGACAAACTATGGAATAGGAAAAAATATTTTCAGATGACGTGACTGACAAGGGGCTAATATCCAAAATATACAAACAGCTCATACAACAATATCAAAATACAATATCAAAAAAACAAATAACCCAATCAAAAAAATGAGTAGAAGACCTGCATAGGCATTTTTCTGAAGAAGACATACAGATGGCTAACAGGCACAGGAAAAGATGCTTAACATCTCTAATTATTAGAGAAATGCAACTCAAAACAACAATGAGATATCACCTCACACCTGTCAGAATGATTATCATTAAAAAGTCTACAAATAACAAATGTTGGAGAGGGTGTGGAGAAAAGGGAACTCTTGTACACTGTTGGTGGGAATGTAAATTGGTGCAGCCACTGTGGAAAACAATATGGAAATTCCTCAGAAAACTAAAAATAAACCTACCATATTATCCAGCAATTCCACTCCTGGGTATATATCCAGAAAAACAAAAACACTAATTTGAAAAGATACATGCACCTCAGTGTTCATAGCAGCACTATTTACAATGGCCAAGACATGGAAGCAACCCAAGTGCCTATCAACAGACAACTGGATTAAGAAGCTGGGAGATTTTATATATATATATATATATACACACACACACATGGATATTACGCAGCCATAAAAAAGAATTAATACTGCCATTTGCAGCAAGGTGGATGGACCTAGAGAATATTACTCTTAGTGAAATAAGTCAGAGAAAGAAAAATACTGTATGATATCATTTATATGTGGAATCTAAAAAATAATACAAATTAATGTACATACAAAACAGAAACAGACTCACAGATGTACAAAATAAACTTGTGGTTACCAAAGGGGAGAGGGAAGTCGGGAGGGACAAAATAGGGGTATGTGATTAACTGATACAAACCACTATGTATGAAATAGAAAAGCAACAAGGATATACTGTAAGCACAGGGAATTATAACCATTATCTTGCAATGGATATACTTAATCCCTAGCAATCCCTTGCAATAACCTATAATGGAGTAAAATCTGCAAAAATACTGAATCACTATACTGTACATCTGAAACTAACAATAATATTGTAAATCAACCACACTTCAATTACTAAAAAACAGAAACAATGTTTCATTTAAGAATGACTTTTTAAAAATGAGCTCCCAAGGAACCCCCTGGAGAATATAACAAAAGTTCCCAAATAGTCAGAAACCTGTAAATAAGGACCCCTAGCAGTGGAGACTCTCCATTGGTTTTCCATTTTACAGCCTTTTTTTGTGTGTGCGCTTTTCTTTGCTGTGATCTAAGAATACAAGAATTTCGAAGATTGGGATTGACATATGTACACTAATATGTATAAAACGGATAACTAATAAGAACCTGCTGTATATAAAAAAAAGAATTTCGATGATTAAAAAACAAACAAACAAACAGGTTAGATCATGCCCTGCGGGTTCTCAAACAGCTTTACTAGATCCCAACCTCAAAATGATGAAGTTAAAATGTTTTCTTTGGCAATTAGTGACCTACAGGATGTGGTCCCAACTTCCTTTTCAATTACTTGCTCCATGCTCTCTGTCATATGCCCTTGGCTCAGACTGTACTAGCCAACTCTTGATAGCTTTGCAATTTGCTCATCTTGTTCCCTCTCCATGAAAAGTCTTTCCCACTCCCATCCTGTCACTCTACCCACCATTCTGTTTACAGAACTCAAATTCCTTCCCTCATGAGGAGAGGGAACTGCATCCCTCTACCGGAGGCCTTTGTTGCCCTAATTCCATTGGACCTGGGATAATAGATAACTCTGCCCGGGTCTGTTTCTCTACAGACCCTAAACAGCCAAGGGGCAGAGCCTGGCTGTATAGGGTTGTGTCTCCTAGTGTCCAGCCCAGAGCCTTGGATGCAGGAGGTCGTTGGTTGTGGAGTGACTGGTGTGTTCATCTTCCTCTTTTTAAAATTCAAGTTTTATTAATTTGAAACATGCCATGCTTTAACATTAAAAGAGTACAAAAGAGTGAAGAGTCACTCTGTTCTCTAGCCTCCTAATTCCTTCTTACGGCAACAACCAATATTATTTTATTCATACGTATATATTCTCCTTCCTTTCTGGAATCAATGAGATCACACTCAAACAGTTTACAGTTTGCTATTTCACTTTGCTATGCTCATATACACATGTATTAAAATTTTGTTTAACCAAGTGACTATTGAAAACATTTAGTTTGTTTTCATTCTGTTGTTATTAAAAACAATGCTGCAGGGGCTCCCCTGGTGGCACAGTGGTTGAGAGTCCACCTGCCGATGCAGGGGACACGGGTTCATGCCCTGGTCCAGGAAGATCCCACATGCAGCGGAGTGGCTAGGCCCGTGAGCCATGGCTGCTGAGCCTGTGCGTCCAGAGCCTGTGCGTCCAGAGCCTGTGCTCTGCAACGGGAGAGGCCACAAGAGTGAGAGGCCTGCGTACCACAAAAAAAACAAAAACAAAAAACCCCACAACGCCCCCCCCAAAACAATGCAGCAATTTATACTGTATATTTGTTATGTTCACATGTGTGAGTATTTACACAGGAAGAATTTCTAGAAGTGGAAATGTTCAGTCAATGGGTGTGGGCACTTTTAATCTTGATCAGCATTGCCTAATGGTTCTCCATAAAGGAGTCTGTGTCCCCACACCTTTGCCGACACAATGTGTTATCAAACTTTTGACAAATTTTATTAAAAAAAATAAAGTTAGATCTTATTATAAGTGTGTGTGTGTGTGTGTGTGTGTGTGTGTAACAAATTCATGATCATCCTTTGGGTTGAAAATCATCCAAGGCATGTGGCGGTGTTGACAATCTGGAGATTCTAACCCTATGTTCATACAGTGTAATTCTTATTTGACTCCTAGCATAATTAAGGAATGGGGTAGGAAAATGTCATGGATAGCCAGCTGCTTTAATAAAGAGATTTTACTTTTTAGAGCAATTTACAGCTTTTAGATGCATTTTACATACATTGATTTTGGCCATTGGGTACATTCCTGTATTTTCAATTTAAAGCAGAACCTGGAGACAGCTGAATGAACACATGCTTTGCAGGTTGATGTTTTGGATAAAATTTTGGGGTATCTCTTGATTATTTTATGAAGGAGATCAGAAAACAGTTTGAAATCTGCTCTATAGCTGTGTTCTGAGGATTAAGTGGTATGATGTTCGTAAAACTTTTTGTCACAGTGCCTGACGCATAATAGGCACTCAAGAGCTGCCTCCCTCCCTCCCTATTTTTTGGCTGCGCTTAGGCGCGGCATGCGGAATCAGAGATTGAACCCGCGCCCCTTGCAATGGAAGCGAGGCGTCTTAACCACTGGACCGCCAGAGAAGTGCCTGTAGCTGTAATTATTAGTTAATAAAATATGTTGTTATATGTTTTGACGGCAGATTAAGGAGTTGTCAATACCTTGGTGATATAACCTGCCTTCTTGGAGGTGATAAGCTCTGTTGTCTGGTAAATTCTTCTCCAGCACTCATTAGCAGTATGACTTGGAGCACACCCCCTAACCTCTCTGGCTTCAGTTTTGTCACCTGTAAAAAGGAATAATAAAAGCCAAGACTCAAGGTTTGCCCTGAAGCTTAAATGTGTAATACTCACAAGTGCTTACTAAACATTAATTCTCTTCTTTCCTCCCAATCCAATGGCGGAGTCATCAAACGACCCATCAAACAACGCGATAACCCCAGGAAACCAGAAGAACTGAGACCGTGGCGACGCGGGCGATACAGTTAGGGCTGATGCACCGAGTGTCGAAAGGGTCACGGAGCGACAAGCTATCGCTCAGCTTCGCAAAACCGTTCCCCACGTACGAGTTGGGAAACCCGGCCTCTCCAGAAGCAGCAGAAGGCCGGCCATCACCCTGGCAACACAGCCTTCCGGTCTGCTCTGCCCTGCCCCACTTCCAGTTCCAGGTCTTGCGTCATCGCTGGGCGACCGGTTGCGCGTTTCCGGGAGAGACAGTGCTGGGGGTGCGATTCTGGTTGGAGGGAGGTGGCGCGAGGCGGAGGTTGGGGGTAGCGCGTTGTGGGGCCTGACCTCGGCGGCGTCCCAGTCCGCCCACAGGGCTCGGCGCAGCCATGGAGAGCGGAGGGCGGCCCTCGCTGGGCCAGTTCATCCTCCTGGGCACCAGCTCTGTCGTCACCGCTGTCCTGTACTCTTTGTACCGGCAAAAGGCCCAGGTCGCCCAAGAGCTCAAGGTCAGTGCTGGCGCCCGTCTGACCTCAGCCGGTCATCCTGCCCGGGGTAATGGTGAGCCCCCGATTCGCCGTGGGCTGTCCCACCCTCGGAAAAGATCCAAGAGAAGGAAACAGGCTCTGAGAGGGTGTCGCCCGGCCGGTAGACGGAGGAACTAGGATCAGAACTCCGGTCTCGTGATAACTGCTTTACTGCCCCCTTTTTCCTAAGGCCCTCTCATTATTCAGAATGAATCTTGACTTAATTATTTTACTCGACAAATATTTATTGAACACCTGCTATGCTCCAGGCGCTGAGGGTATCGCGTGGGTGGAACAGACAGAAGCCCCTGACCTCATGGAGATTTCATTCTAGTCCAACCAGACAATAAACAAGTCAATCAGATGGCGTGACACATGGGGATAATACTACAGAGTAATGCAAGGAAGAGAGGAAATGGAGTGCTGGAGAAAGGGTGACATTTAAATAGGGAGACACTTAAATAGGGTGACATTTGAGCAGAGCCCAGGAAGACTTGAGGGGGGCAGGGCAGGTCCCTGGGGAAGAGTGATTCAGACAGAGGGAACCGCAAATACAGAAGCCCTCGATTTACCCGCTGCATAACCACTCAGCTCCTTGCTTCTAAAAGACTTCCTTTTTATATTAATAGCCCTTTAGAAAATGCCACTCCCTTTCCTGAGCTCCACTTTACAACTTACACAACACGTTTCCATCTTGGTTTTAGTTTCTCTTCACAGTAATTTCTTGGGGTAGTTAAAATGACCTCTGGATTGCAGATCAAGAAATCGAGACTCCGAGGAAAGGTCTATACAGCTAGTCAGCTTGGAACTTAAACTTAGGTCTTTTGATTCCAAGTATAGGATTTTTTCTTGCTGACCACATTGCTCAGTTGTGAATGTGTGAGCAGCTCATGAGAGCTGGACCTCATTAGGTCAGAGACAGGATCTTATTTACTCTTCTTTCCTTCTAGGTTCTAATCCAGTGCTTAACAAAGAGTAGATGCTCAGTAAATATTTGTGGATTTGTTTTGGCTGCAATTTCATAATACAACAGTTAGGGGGCTTAATTTGACATTTATTTGAAAGACGGATTCCTAAACCTAACTTCATTATCATCAGATTGTTTACGTTAAGAGCTTAGAAACAAATGTTCGAAATCCCTGCCATGAAGGGAGTTTTGGAATCTGCCTGGAATGCACCTAGTTACCAAGGAATTGAATTTGTGGTGTGAATGACATCCTGGTGAGATTCCAGCTGCCTTCTTGTTTGCTTAATTAAATAAGTTACTCCTGAAGTGATTGGCTGTGATTGTAACTGATACTTTACTTTCTGACTCTGAATCAGAAATCACATTGGCATCAAGTTGGCGGAAGGTGGGATCCTCTGAAGCAGTGACCCACCTTTGGGTGACCTTAAAAGCTTTGCTGATTAGTTCCTAAATGAGGATGAAAGAAATAGCCCCTTCTTGGAAAAACAGTTGGAACTTCTCATATTTTAGGTTCTATTTTCTTGATCAGATTATAAAACGTATAGAGTAGGGCTTCTGTCTTATCCTTTTGCATCTCTCATAGTGATGGGAATGCATATTTATCACATGCCTACTATGTGCCAGCCCCTGGTCTGGATTCTTTCACACTTAAGTTTCATTTAATCCACATGAAAATCCTGTGAGATTGTTTCCCCCACCTCTTACAGGTTTTGAAACTGAGACTCAGATAAATTAAGTTTCCCAAAGTCACAGTAGATGCATTGAAGCTTGATTCAATCCCAGATCTTTCTGACTGAATTCCCCCTCCCTTTTAAAAAAAATTTAAGCAACTATCCTATGGTGGATACTTTACTAGCTGTGTGACTTTGGGCAAATTACCTCACTTCTCTGAGCCTCAGTTTCCTTATCTGTAATTGGGGATAATAATGTCTGCTGTATAGGGATGGTATGAGCATTAAATGGGGTTATGCATTTAAAGTGCTTAGCAGAGTGCCTGGAATGTAGTATATCTAAGTGCTTATTTATTTGCTAATTTATTCATCAAATATGTATTTAGTGCCTGCTATGTGTCAGGCACTCTCTCGGCACTAGGGGGACAGCAGTGAACAAGACCAACAAGGTCCTAGCCCTCCTAAGTTCAATAGTCCAGTGGAGGGAGAGACAGATAATAAAGGAGTAAATAAACTGAGGGTTAGTTGTTGTTATTGCCATTGTTTTTATTATCTTCCCAGTGTACATGGTTAATAAGTTTTTATTGACTTGCTCCTGTTTTTTACTGCGTAGCAGCAGCTTAAACTTAGAGTGACCTTAGTATGTATCCAGTACCTCCTCACCTCTTTAGAGGTTACTCATCTGGCGTCGGTAAGATTTGTTGATGGAAATACCTGAAAGTAGGAACTGTCCTTCATTCATCCCTGAATCCCTAGCGCCCAGCACAGTGCCTGGCTCAGGAAATGTTCAGTGGTTTTATTAATTTTATCTTACTTTTGATGCAGCAGTAACAGGCTTGGTTGGTTCCCAAGCACCGCAGGTTGGAAACTGAATTGGAAGGCATGGAGAACTGGGGATTGTGAGAGGAGGGTAGCAGCAGAGGTGACTGTGCTTGCCTGATTATGAGGGAAGAGAGGCAAACTGAAAAGTAGAAGAATAGTGTTTGGCACCAGTTCCCGAAGCCTTGCCCTGTAATGCAAAGGCAGCCCTTCATTATAATGTCTCATGCAAAGCATGAACTGACAAGGGCCCGGTGATAATTATACCTACCATGGCCCGAGCCCCTACCATGTACTGGTCACTACTTGAGGTGCTTTTATGCATAAGCCCTTTGGCTGCATGGTTCTGTGTTGTCAGGAAGAGATCAAATTACATTCAGATCTATGGTATACAAATTGATTAGTATCTTTTATATTTTTGTCTTAAAAAGTTAAAATGAAAAGGAGTGAATGTTTGGTTAACTGGAGGAAGAGTGTAAGTGGCACCCCCATTCTGCAGATGGCAGAGACGAGGCACTGCCCCAAGCCTGTTTATATGGTTCTGGGGCACAGCTTCAGAATCAGATTCTCCGTAGTCTCCTTCCTGCCTGATGTCCTTAGTCTCTCAACGTGAAAAACGTAAATAGTTTTTTTTTCTTTTTTCACTTGTTTGAGCATATCAGTATTCAGCAGTCAATTCAATGTGTTGTTTCCATTTAGGGAGCTAAAAGAATCCACTTGGGTGAAGACTTAAAGAGTATTCTTTCAGAAGCTCCAGGAAAATGTGTGCCTTACGCTGTTATTGAAGGTATGTTTATTTATCGGTAAAATGAAAAATTACTCCCTCTTCTAAAAGTTTGGTAAAGATCTTCTTGGCTGACATTGAGGGCCTTTTGTAGCCTTGGGGCAGTGGTTCAGAACTTGGACTTTGGGGTCAGAAAGACCTGTGTTACTGCTGTGTGATCTTGGCGAAATTATGCAACCTTTTCAAACCGTCATCGCTCCATCTCTAAAATGTATGTTACAGGGTTGCTGTAAAACTGAAATGATGTGATCCGTGTAAACTGCTTAGCAGAGTGCCCCAAAGCATAACTTATGGTGATGATGTTTTCATCATGTTGATTAATTGTTGATTAATTAAACTCACACAAACGAAAAACAAAATTTAAATTACTTTAAAGGAAAGGGCGGAACAGTTCTTCAGAAATAAAATAATTTGTTTCCATTCAGGAGCCGTTCGGTCTGTTAAAGAAACGCTTAACAGCCAGTTTGTAGAAAATTGCAAGGGGGTGATCCAGCGGCTGACGCTTCAGGAGCACAAGATGGTGTGGAACCGGACAACTCGCCTCTGGTGCGTAGCCTTGCTCCACGGGCCCAAACCGCACGGGTGGTTGGTTCAGGTGTCGGTGTCCTGGCCCTGTTTCCACGTCTTCAAGCTTTTCCCGCGACAGGGCGGAGACCGGTCTCTCAGTGCTGCTTATATTCTTGTGTGTGGTCTGAGCACCTCTTCCACTGCCGTCACCTAGGCGTCCTGTCCAAATGCAGATTCCTGGGCTCCGTCCCAGACCTACTGAGCCAGAATTTCCAGGATAGGGGACCTGGAGTCTGTGGATATGCACACTAAGGTTTGAGAAACACTGATTTATGGCATGGATCAATGATTTCAGTACCTGTTAAGATAATTTCATGCTATTAAGTGGAGTTCCATTTTTCCAGCTGATCGTAGGAGGGTTTTGTTTTGGATTTCTATTTTATTTTAATTTTTATTGTAGTAAGAACACTTAACCTGAGATCTTCCCTTGTAACCAAATTTTAAGTACAACAGTACAGTCCTGTTAACTCCAGGCACAAGGTTGTACAGGGGATTTTGAACTTACTCATCTTGTAGAAGTGAAACTTTATACCCAGTGAACAGCAACTCCCTGTTTTCTTTTTCCCTCAGCCCCTGGCAACCACTGTTTTACTGTTTCTATGAGTTTGGCTACTTCAGATACCTCATGTAAATGGAATCGTGCAGTACCTGTCCTTCTGTCCGTCTGCCTCAGTTCACTTTGCTTAATGTCCTCCAGGTTCATGCATGTTGTCACATGCGGCAGGATTTCCTTTTTTTTTTTAATTTTTATTTTTATAAAGGCTGAATAGTATTCCCTTGTTATGTATATACCACATTTTCTTTATTCATCTGTCGACAGACATTTAGGTTGTTTCCGTTTCTTGGCTGTTGTGAATAACCTTGCAGTGAACAGGGGAGCACAGATGCCTCTTCTAGATCCTGATTTTAGTTCTTTTAGATATGTCCTCTGAAGTGGGATTGCTGGGTCGTATGGTAGTTCTATTTTTAATTTTTTTGAGGCATTTATTTAAGATAAAAAAAATCAGTCTGTCTTACAGGGGCAAAGGGAAATAAAGATTAGAGGTGATCTGTGACAATATTTGTTGCCCATTGAGATCGCCTGAGAACCTAAAAAACCGAGCTTCCCTCTTCTGAGGCTCTGGACAATTGTGATTTCTGTTGTACTCTTCCACTCGCTTTAGACTTCAAACTGTCCTCCTGGCATCGAGGTGCTCTCCACCCCTGCCCGGGTGCGAGGTATCTGCCATCCTTTGTTTTATCTTGAGTTCTCTTGTAGGAACGACTGTTCCAAGATCATTCACCAGAGGACCAACGTGGTGCCCTTTGACCTGGTGCCCCACGAGGATGGCATGGATGTGGCTGTGCGGGTGCTGAAGCCCCTGGACTCGCTGGATCTGGGTCTGGAGACGGTTTACGAGAAGTTCCACCCCTCCGTCCAGTCCTTCACGGACGTCATCGGCCACTACATCAGCGGGGAGCAGCCCAAGGGCGTCCAGGAGACCGAGGAGATGCTGAAGGTGGGGGCCGCCCTCACGGGGGTGGGCGAGCTGGTCCTGGACAGCAGCTCCATCCGTCTGCAGCCCCCCAAGCAGGGCATGCAGTACTACCTGAGCAGCCAGGACTTCGACAGCCTGCTGCAGAGGCAGGAGTCCAGCGTCAGGCTCTGGAAGGTCCTGACACTGGCGTTCGGCTTTGCCACGTGCGCTACCCTCTTCTTCATCCTCCGGAAGCAGTATGTGCAGCGTCGAGAGCGACTGCGCCTCCAGCAGATGGAGGAGGCGTTCCGGGAGCACGAGGCCCAGCTGCTGAGCCGAGCCAACCCCGAGGACCGGGAGAGTCTGAAGAACGCCTGTGTCATGTGCCTGAGCAACTTCCGGTCTTGCGTCTTCCTGGAGTGCGGGCACGTGTGTTCCTGCGCCGAGTGCTACCACGCCTTGCCGGAGCCCAAGAGGTGCCCCATCTGCAGGCAGGCGATCACCCGGGTGATTCCCTTGTACAACAGCTAATGGTCTCGAGGCCCCACAGTGAGACCCCCTGCCCCGCTTCAGGGCTGTTTATCTCCAGGCCTTTAGAAGAGCAGTGGTGGGCGGCTATCATCTCACAGCCCCAGCAGCAGAAGGTGGCCTTTCCAACGTGCAGGGGACCTTTTCTGGCACTGAGCACAGACTCACAGCTGCACCTTGGGGCAGGCGCCGTGGCGCCGCATCCCTTCCCTGGAGGCCCTGAGCGTGCGTGGCTGAGGACAGCTCACCGCTCAAGTGCCAAAGTCAGTGGCCTCCGGCTTTTCTGTTCTGGTGTCTTCTCATCCTTTCTGGTGAGGTGTCGGTCCCTGTGGACTTGAGCCTTGAATGACTCAGCCAGAGGGGGGGCAAAGTTGCCTTGCGGAGCCGCTTCTGAAGAGACTGTGCATTCTCCTTCCCCCTTGCTTACAGCCCGGAAAAAAGTTGTCAGGCTGGACGTGTCACTCGAGTCCCTTTCCCTCATGTGCTGGCCTCCTCCTACATGTGTGCACACTTGTGTCAGGACAAAAGGAAGTGAAATCCTGCATCTGCCCTCTGCCTAACAGGGCGGGACTCTGGTCAGAGAATGGAGAGAGGTCATCTGCGGGGGCACTTGGACCGGTGCCCATTCAGTGATCCCCGTGGCAGTGAGGATGGGGCCGCTTAGCCGCAGCCCTCCTGGGGCCACCACGGACCTAACGAGAGGGCCACCAGAGCACGTGTCCACCCTGGCTTGGAACTCCCGAGGCCTGAGCGGGCTGAGGGCTCTGGTTTTCCCAGAGGAAGCAGTAAGGGCACTGCTGCCCCAGCCTCGGGCTTTCCCAGCTCCTCTCCAAGGCTGGCCCCACGGAAAAGTAGCAGCCAGCATCCTGAGTGCAGAGCCTCTCCTGGCCCCCCGGCCCACCCCTGAAAAGTTCACATCCCGTGGGTGTAATCACACCGCCCTTCTCACAGCCCTGCTCACCCCTCAGCTGACCCGCTTGAGTTTGTGAGTGTGGAGAAGTGGGGCAGCCTCTCAGCCACCTCTGAGTGTCCAAGGGCACGTGCACGGCGCTTTCCTCTCTCCCTTCCCTGGCTTTGAATATCCATGCCCTATCCTCCTTTGTGCGGGGGAGATGGGGGTGCTCTCAGGGGGCTGACGCCGGTTCTCTGCGCGTCCAGCATGGACGGCACAAATAAAAGACGTTATAGCCACGTGTCAGCCTCTTGCTTTGAACGAGAGTTCAGCGGCTAGGCTGAAGCTGCCCTGGGATGGCATTGAATCCAGTTATGGTGGAATGAGCTGGGGACCTGGAGGCCTCTGTGCGTCCTTCCTTGGCTGCAAGGTGGTGCAGCTTGGTGATGCTGAAGCGCGGGGGCTGCTGGGGGTCTCCGGTCAGCCTGAGAGAGGGCCACCCCGGAGGCGTGCCCGCAGGTCACGCCTGGCCTCGCAGAGTGTCGTCTTTGAAGACATATGTGCTGACGTCCTGAACACAGGCAGTGGGATTTCACCTGCTGGGAGAATGGGACGGGTGTTGGGGACAGCAGGGAGGACGCTAACATATGTACCAGATGCTCTTTCAGACTTTAATTTCATTGCAGGCTCTCATGGCATGTCATCCTACAGATGAGGACGCAAGCCCTGAGGGGGGATGTTCACTGGCTCAAGGACACACAGCGAGTAAGGGTGGGGGTGGGGGTGGGGTCCACATTTAAACTCCCAGCTGCTTCAGACCCCTGACCCTCCTCACGGCGGTGGGGCTAACGGGTCCCTCAGTGCTCACAGGAGCGCCCCACAAGGTGCTGGTTCCCCACGTCAGTGGACAAGGCCACACTGGAGGAGGACGTGGACGTGTGAACCCACTTGCCCATAGTGAGTCCTGTCCAGGGAGGTGGTAAGACCCTGGCTTTACACATAGGTGGCAGGGAGCGGGCAGGGAGAGAGGGGGGACTGATGGGGCTGACCTCTGAGCATCTCAAAGTGTCTGCTGTTTTCCTGTGTCCTTTCAGCAGACACTTTGAAAGAGGGTCCAGGTTTTAGAGGATGAATGAGCTGCCTGTGTGTGGAGACGTGGGTGGCTTGTGTGCTAATCTGTCAGAGTTCAGCCCTTGGCATTAGATTCCATGAGTAGATCTGATCACGTGATGGAAAAGCAAAGGGAGCGTGCCCTTACCCCGGTCTGACTCAAATCCTGGGCAGACTAATTCTGTGTGGAGTGTTCCTCTAAGTGGAGTTGAGTTACCCATCGTGGGAGACACAGGAGCAGCACACCGTCTCTGCCTCAGGAAGTGGCAGCTGGTTGGGAACATGAACACACACGTACCCGGATTCCGGATCTGAGGTCCACGCTCGGTCCTAGCCTGGCTGGACTGAGACTGCCCCATGCTCTCCATCACCCGTGCCAGTTCCCACCTTCCATTTAAGGAGCCTCATCACCAGCAGGGTTGAAGGGGCTTAAACCGATCCGTGGGATTGAGGCTGGGGGTTGGAGGTGACTTGGAGACAAGGAACTGACCATGGGATTGTTGTGAATTTTGACTCAACCCTTATGCTCAGCCTCTAATCGTAGGCAGACAGCATTAGGCAGGGATCATCTTGAGTAATTGCTCCTGGTGTTTTGAAATTCTGTGCGAGGCACTTGATAAGCATGAATGCTTGCAGTCCTGCAAAGTGGGTATTGTTCCCCCTGTTTTACAAGTGAGAACAGCGAGGTCCAGCAGGGTTACATTTTGCCTACAGCCATGCATAATCATGAGGCTGGCAATGTTAGACTCTCCAGGTATCAAATATGTTTCTAAGATTTAGGGTGAACCAGCAGGGGAGGCTATATCACCCCTTTTTACAGCTTATGTGATTTGCTCAAGGCTATCAAGGTCTGACTATAAAGCCCTTTGCCTTTAGTCACATTGAAGCTAAGAGGCTAAGAGGGGAAATTGTTCAAGCAACAATTGAAGCCAGTCAGCACCTTGACAACCACGAGTCACATCCACTGGTTTTATAGACCACAGGTTGAGGCTTATCCTGGTGGAGCAGAAGCCAGAAGGCAGGTCTTTGGAATCCTAAGTCTTTCAGAATGGTGATGGAAAATTCAAAAAGCAAACAACATGACAAACTAGGCCAATCTCTGACACCCTTTGCAGCCCTGGTCCTAGGCTGGGTGTGGACAGATCTGATGGGGATGATCCGGCAGGGCCTTGCGAATGCTCAGAGGGAGGCTGTCAGGTTTGGTATCCTTGCTGGGCATTTATTCATCTCAGAGACATTTGCTAAATGTGTATTCTGTGCCTGGGGATGCAGAAACAAATACGATGCAGTCCCTGCCCTCAAAGTGCTCAGAATTGTCTTTTTTTTTTTTTTTTTTGCGGTACATGGGCCTCTCACTGTTGTGGCCTCTCCCATTGCGGAGCACAGGCTCCGGACGCGCAGGCTCAGCGGCCATGGCTCATGGGCCCAGCCACTCCGCGGGCATGTGGGATCCTCCCGGACCGGGGCACGAACCCGTGTCCCCTGCATCGGCAGGCGGACTCTCAACCACTGCGCCACCAGGGAAGCCCTCAGAATTGTCTTTTACTCTGTCCTCATTGTTTGAAAATGACTAAGCCCCACGGGTGCCTCTCGGCTGTTGGAGTGTTTGTGGTTCACAGAATATCGCAGCTGGGATGGCCTTTGAGATTAGCCTGGTTAGAGCAGATTCCCTGACCATTCAAAATAAAGCAACCAAGGGCAGGGTATCATTGCTGAAGGAGAGCCAAACAGAGAGCACCTACTCCACAGAGCCTAGAATGATCTATTTAAAACACCAATCTGACCACGTCCCCCTTCTGCTTGAAGTCCTTCCCCAGGCTCCCTGTCACCTCCAGGGTCCAGCCCTGGTTCCTGCAAGGCATATGAAGGCATGTGACCCAGCCCTTGGCCACCTCTCCAAGCCTCTCCATATCTGTCTCTCTCACACTTCTGGCTCCAGCCACACCGAGCCGATGAGCTTCCTTAAACACGTTGCTGTTCCTGCCTCCTAGCCTTTGCTATTGCCGAGTCCTGCCCCTGGCATTCTGGTCCTTTCTTCACCTTGCTAACATCTCCTCACCCTTCAAAACTCAGCTTTAGGTGTCCTCTCCAGAAAACCCTTCCCTGACTTTCCCCACGCAGGCGGGGTTAGGTGCCCCTCCCCTGAGATTCCATAATCCAGTCCTGTTCCTGCTCTGAACCCATGTCTTGGGCAGGAACTGTATCTTATTTCTGCTCCAGCACAATTTTTTTAGGTCATCACTCTATACTCGTTAGAGCTAACATTAGGGCTTGCTCTTTGCTAGGTACCGGCGAAAGACTGGACGTGATCAATGTCATTTAATCCTCACTGTGAGCTATGTGTTTGTATTATTCTTACTTTAAGGAAAAAGAAGTCAAGGCCCAGAGGTCAAGTTGCTCGAGCACCCAAGAAAGACAGGATTTAGGTCCAGGCAGTCTGACTCCAGAGCCTGAGCTCTTAACCACTGAAAGTACATGGAATGAATGAGAAAACCAACGAATGAGATAGTGGATGCGGGGCCAGCAATCCTGGGAGGCTGCCTGTGGGAGTTGGTTTTTGGACCGGAGATGAGGGCCATGGCTTGGTTGTAAGGAACAAGGGAAGGGCCTCTCTGAGGGCCCAGATCCAAGATGGATTGTGTAAGAGAAACATCACGTCCAATGACCTGCCCAGAGCTTTGAGGGCTCCACACAGGAAAGTCAGGACAACATCATTGCGTGGTGGTAAATGGTCCGGACTGGGAGGAAGAGGACCTCTCGGGTCCTGGCTCTGTTGCTGTGCGATGTTAATGGAGTGATGTAACCACTCTAGGCTTCACTTCTGTTTGTAAAAGGAGCAGATTGGATTAGACGCTCCCCAAGGCTCCACTCAGCTCTGCCATTTTGCATGTCTGTGACACAGCGAGTGGATGAGGAAGGAGGGAGAGCAGTTTCGAAGCCCTGAGATGAAGACCCTCTTCAGGCAAGCTGCCTGCCGCAGACTCAGAGCCACGTTCCCGGA